CACATTTAGCCTCTGCTTACATGCTTCTCACCGTTGACTAGTATGCTGCTCCTAACATGATGGTACTAGAAGAGATGGGCAGATGTGATATCCCCGAGGCATCGACAGTGCGCCATAATTTAAGTCATTCAGCAGATGCGCGACGTACAGCTTTCGGCTTCTGAGTACCTAAACAAAACAGTCAGCTTCATTTTTTTTTTTGTCAGCTCCATTTAGATTTGAAATACTTACGAAAACAGAACGAAAAAAGCGAAATCAAAAAAAAGAAAAAAGCGAGATCAAAGAACTGGGACCTACGAATAAAAGCCAAAGAAAGCAGAAGCAAATAAAAACTGAGAAAACAAAAATAAAGAACAGATGAAAAACTCAACAAAAGCAAAAACTTGTGGGTTGGGGATTGCTTTATAAAAGTTCATCTGCAGCAGTGGGCTTTTCCTACTTAGGAGGCTGATGCTTAGTTAAAGCTGAGAGCACTCAGCTTTATCTATGCAACTCAACCTTATTGGCTTTCAGTTTTACCTAAACATCAGCTTCATAAATGGGGTAGTCCTCTACTAACCCAGGTTTGTTTTTACCTTTCTTTGTAGTGTTTTTTTCTCTTTTTCCCTTCACTGCTATTTCTAGTTTTGTTCTCTTTTTCCACAAATCCACCTATCCTACCCTCCTCCCTCGCCCCGAAAGGAACCCGTAGCAAACAAAGTCCCCCTCCTCCTTCGTTCCCACCTGCCACATCCCAACTGCCGTCGGGTAGCCGCACTCGTCGTCGCCAAGAAAGTTTTTGGCGAATCGTGTATTACGCCGGCCGGGCCCAACCGATGTCCAGCAATTGCTCGATAAGTACAAAAACTCGGCTCGGCCAACGTCATACACAATCTGCAGAAAATTTTTTCTGGCGACGGATGGTTTGGCTACCGCATGACAGGTGGCGAGAGTTTGGGTGTAACAGGTGAGGGGGGTAGTACTTACGGGTTTCGTTCGAAGCAGGGGAGGGGTTGGGGAGGGTGGGCTCAATGAATAAATGGCGTAGATCGTTTGCGGGTTAGCTAGGTCACGTAGATTTAGAGGAGAGAGAGGGATGGGTGATGGATGAGGAAGATGAGGAAATGTGCCTCTGGTTTATGCCGTGGGTACCTGTGATAGGGAAAGGCGAAATACTGCTTGCTTGCACAGTTCTCCTGTAGCAGCGATGGGGAGGGCTAGTCTTTGTTACCCTTCGAGCTAGTCTCGAGCACCGCCGCTTCTTATATTGGGCGAGGGGGAAGCAGGTGAATATGAGGCGGTTCTTGTCTTTTCACTGTCTTCGAGAATGGGCATTCCTCTTCTGCTGTTTTTTGCAAGATTCCAACTCAGACGCCTCATTTTTTTACGAAATTGGCAACGGACCGGGCAGTATCGGCACATTACAGGGTGCAGACTCCTCGGGACATATCGAGAGACAGACTCCTCAGGACATGTGTATTTTTTGCTTGTGCACTCTTGTTTTGCGTACCCTTTCTAACTGCTTTTTTCTGTCACTTCCAAGCAAAAGAAGTCCGGTTCGGGCAGTTCTTGAGGCTCCTTGAGAGAACTTGGGGTGTCTGGGTGCACTGTCCGTAACCCGTGTGGTTCGCGGGAATGACTGGAGAAGGCTGTTGCGGTGGGAGCAGATGAGCTTGGCTTTCGATGGTTGCGGTAGCGACGTTTAGCTTAATCCAGGAACTCATAGTGGCAGCAGTTGACGGGAAGGTTGCTGCCATGCCCTTGTCCGAGCCATGGATAGGTTAGGTGGATCTTTGCAGTGCAGCGTTTTTTACTGCTGTTGAAATGAATGAATGAAGGGCGAGTACTGTATAAAAGTGAACATTTTCTGTGTAATTTGAGATTGCAGAGGAGCCTGGTGCGGGAATGACAGGGCTGGAAGGGATCAAGGACGAAGCACCTTCGTCGCCGAGCCTCAGCACTCCGCCGAAGGACGGCGCTGCTCAGCGGGAAGCCACCATTCCTCTGATGGTAAGCAGTCGCTGCTGGAAATACGCAAAAAGAGCGCACCAGTAACATTTCTCATGCATTTTTTGCAGCCTGAATTTCTCCGTATCCCTGTGCATTGGCGAATGCTGATGCTGTGCTGCTTCCGTTGTCTAGTTAAAAGCGGCTGGCACAGAATGCGTCTCGAATAGGCGCACACAACCTCTTAACAGTATGCATTTTTGCGCAGCATCAAATATGCAAAAGTGCGCGACGAATTCTTCTTGCCTTCATCCTAGGCAGTCATTTCTTTTCGGCCGGGGCATACGCTGTTCGCGCTGCAGATTACTTTTGCTGCTTTTAAGTCGTTGTGACGAGAATGCCCCGGTAACTTGTGTTGACAGGGACAGAGGATCGGCTTTCTGCCTAGAATCCGCTCGAAGGATTCTGCCGGAGAGTGTACCGAGATAGATCTGAACGTGCAGGGACCCGGCGATGCACTGGAAGACAGCTAGTTACACGACCCTCTGCGAATCAGCGTGACAAAAAATGGATAGTTGTTGGAAATATTAGGTGTGTATGGGATGTGAGAGTTGCTTCTGGAACAATC